TGCCGGAAATGGGTGTGCGGACGCATGCGGGCCACACCCCGCATGCGGGCCACACCACTGGGACCTTCGGTGGAGCGGAGCTCCTATGGGGGCCACGAAACGGTGAGGGGTGGGCCGGAAAAGGGGAGGGGTGTGCGGGGACGCATGCGGGCACACCCACTGAGACCCTTGGGTGGAGCTCCCTATGGGCCACGAAAACGTGTTGAGGGGTTTTGTGCCGAAATGGGTGGCGGGCCGCATGCGCGGCACACCGCGGGCACACCAATGGGACCTTCGGTGGAGCTCCCTTTGGGGCCACGACACGTGTGAGGGATGTGCCGACATGGGTGTGCGGGACGCATGCGGGCACACCCACTGAGACCTTCGGTGGAGCTCCCTATGGGGCCACGAAACGTGTGAGGGGTGTGCCGAAATGGGTGTGCGGGACGCATGCGGGCACACCCAATGGGACCTTCGGTGGAGCTCCCTATGGGGCCACGAAACGTGCGAAGGGTGTACCGAAATGGGTGTGCGGGACGCATGCGGGAACACCCACTGGGACCTTCGGTGGAGCTCCCTATGGGGCCACGAAACGTGTGAGGGGTGGGCCACAATGGGTGTGCGGGACGCATGCGGGCACACCCACTGAGACCTTCGGTGGAGCTCCCTATGGGGCCACGAAACGTGTGAGGGGTGTGCCGAAATGGGTGTGCGGGACGCATGCGGGCACACCCACTGGACCTTCGGTGGGGCTACCTATGGGGCCACGAAACGTGTGAGGAGTGTGCCGAAATGAGTGTGCGGGACGCATGCGCACTGGGACCTTCGGTGGAGCTCCCTATGGGGCCACGAAACGTGTGAGGGGTGTGCCGAAATGGGTGGTGGTTAATGATGATGAAGACAGATTGATGATGCCGATGACGATGATGGGATGATGACGATGATGATGAAGATGGGAGGAGGGAGGGGGCAGCGGGAAGGAAGGAACGCGGGGCGACGTCTCTTCAAAACGAGGACCCAACACCACAGGATGGTTGGGAAAAATATAGGAAGAGGAACATATATATATATATATATACACAAGACTGCAGTTGCGCTTCGCGCCATGCACCTTGGTCCTTGAAGTTTGGTATGCAGGCGGAATAGCAGGAAGGTCAAGCCGACAATTGAGCGATAACTCTTTGTTGCCTTTTCCAGCATCGCCGCTAAAATGCTGTTATTCGTTATCCATCCTCCATGCTTAATTTTCCTCGTTCTCGCCATACCCTGCGCATTTTCCCCATCCTTCTCAGCTCTTTTTGCGGAGGCTCCTCCTTGGAGAGCCTCTGGAGAGCCTCTGGGGACCTCACAAAAGCTTCAGGCTTTCTTAAGGCCTTCTGGAGGCCTCTTGGGCGTGTTCTGGAGGTTCTGGGGGCTTCCTCGGGCCACCCTGCCTCCAACCGCGGTCTCCCTGAACGACCGGGTCACTATTCGGATTGCTTCGGAGGGTGTCTTGGGGCCGTCTTGGGCCGCCATGGGGCTCTCTTAGGGCCATCTTTGACTCCTGTTGTGCCGTTTTGGGGCTTTCTTGGACTGCCTGGAAGCCCTTTCGGATGGTTGTGGGGCGATGTTGGAGCCTCCCAGGCGGCTTCGGACGCCCAGAAGACTGCCGTATTGGAGCGTCGGGAAGCCGAAAAGAGGGAGAACCCAAAAATCCACCAAAAAACGCAGAAAATACATGATTTGTGCCTCTTGGGGCCTTCTTGGGAGTGCTCTTGGAGGATTTTTGATGCCTTTGGGGCCGTCCTGGAGGCCTCTTGGACCATCTTGAGGTCACGTCGGTCATTCTTGGAGCGCTCTTGTGCTGTCTTGGGGGTCTCTGGGACGTCTCCGATGACCCCCCTGATCGCCCTAGGTGTGCTGGGAAGGCTTGGCAAAACGCCCTGCGAGGCCCGGGGTGGCCGCTTCGAGGCCCGTCCGGAGGGTCCCAGCCGGGAGTCCGGTTTTGAGGGGGGGGGCCCGGGCTTGCAAAAATATAGGAAGAATGAATATATATATATATATATATATATATATATTGTAATATAAGGAATATATATATAAAATATAAATATAATATAATATATAAATTGAAACCACATATATATATAAATATACAAAAAACTAGCAAACATCAAATGTAACATACCATATAGTTATATATATACATACAAACAAACATACATAACATACATACATACATACATACATACATACATACATACATACATACACATATACGTATACATATACATATACATATACATATACATATACATATATATATATATATATATATATATATGTATATAGAGAGAGATCTCGTTGCCCTGGAGAGGGCCAAGTTGCGGCACCGTTGCCCCTGCGTCCGACCTGGGCAGCCGGCGGGGGGGAGCCCGAGGCGCAGCAGGCGGCTGTGGACGCTGCACCAGGGAAGGTCCAGAACACGGCGCGTGACGCCCCGCGGGGACGCGTGCGTCGGCCGCGCGCTCCGCGCTGGGCGTGACCCGGGCGCCCGCCGACCTGGGGGTTGAGGTCGTGCGCCGCGCTGTTCGGTCGTGCCTGGCGGCGCCGGGGATGGCCAGTTGCTGCGCGCGGCGCCCCGCGCTACTGATTTGAGCGCGGCTTGGCCGCGGGAAGGACCTGGGTCGCGCCCCGCGCTCGGGATTTGAGCGTGGGGCGCGCGGCGCGCGCGCGCGCCGCCGTCGCTCGACGGCCGCTGATGGCCTGGGTTGCGCCGCAGAAGGGAGATGATACACCACCACTACCATGCCTGGTCAGGGTCACGCTGGGCCGCGGGATAGTGCAAAATACCGTGGGTATAGGAAATACACGCGGAACCAAATCAAAACGTTGGAATTCCGCCGTTCAAAGAGAGCGATTGCAGCCCAGGCCACGACAATATGGAGCTCAAAAACTTGCACTCGCGGTCCGCTTCTATTGTTTACATCTTCGGCGGCGGCCGCCGATCGTGCCCAGCTTAAATATCACGGACTTTGTTCGGCGAAATTCCAACGTTACGAATCAGTGTTGCGTTAATTGTTTCCCTCCACGGCCTTCCAACAGGGCCGACTCGAGGGCCCCTTCGCAGTTCCATGCACGGCATGGGGCCCCGACGACAGCGCGGAAGCAGCATGAAAATCTTCTCTGTTCGGATTGTAATCTAATCCGGGAAGTCCGTCGATGTGGTCTGGGATGCCGGCGCAAGGCCCTGCGGCTGGGCGGGCGCTTCAACGCCTTCCCGGAAGGGGGAATGGGGAGGGGAGGAGGGAAGTGACCCAGCGCGGCGGCGAGACCGCCTTTCCGAGCAGGCTATCAGGGGGGTCCCAGCGCCGCCCTCCAGCGCCGGAGGCGCCGCAACGCGCTGGGGCCGCCCCTGGTGCGCTCCGCGCGCCAGGGAGGGGGCCCAGCGCCGATCCGAGAGGTCCGCGCGGACCTCCGAGTTTTTATGTTTACATCATTGCTTGTTCCCGTAGAATTGTCACGCGCGGGGGGGGCTGCGGTCGAGGTGCAACTCGTCAGACCCACCGCCAACTTTGAACATTGGGGGGGGGGGGAGGCGCTGACAGAAAAATGTGGCATGAGTGTTCCCTATTTTTCCCGAGGCCTGGAGGACCCTGGCACCAACGCTTCGTTCGTTCGCTTCGTTCGCTTCTGTCCGTTTGGCCGAACGACCGAACGACCGGAGCGGAGCACTTACAGTCGAGCATCCGTTTAAGAAGCCTCCTTCAAGAAAGCTGGACCAGCGTTTCTGATCCAATTTGCCAAAAATTTGGCCCAGTCCCTTGAACGCGTTCGCCCCTCCAGCGTTAACAAGAACACGCGGCCCAGGCTTGTCTTAAAAAATGTGTGGAAAGTTGGCCCAAGTTTCTCAAATGATGATTTTCTTGGTCATATTTTCGGCTGCACTCCAGCATACCGTCACCTCGGTTTCACCTCGCGCTGTATCAGGGCGCCTCTTGGGCGACAGCGGCGATCGCAGGTTTCACTTCTAACCAGATCGATACGACTCCTTATCGATTCCGGCCGGCCCGATTCGACCCGTTCGGAGATCCCGACGATCCGAGACTGTTGTTGTGCATCCTGGCATTCTGCATCCTGGCGCGCCCGATCCATTCGACTCCGACTCGGGTGCGGCTCGATCCGACGCACGCTCCATGTCGATCCGATTCCCGAGTCGACGCCGACTGATCCTGCGATCGCGGCACTGTGGCACTGGTGGCCCGTGTCCATTTCGCCCCTCGCGCTCCTCTCGCGTGCCACCCGGCGGGGGGGGGGCGCAGTACCTTCATTCTCGGCTGCTGGGATGACCGTGGGGGTATCTAAGTTGATATAGGGGGTGACAAGTGGATGCCAAGCTGGGTTATATCTGGCCCAACTTGGCTTATAAGTGGGTTGCAAGTGCCCCGACTGGCTTAGGGGGGTTAGACAACTCCGCTAAGTGGGCGGAGCCCACTTAGCCTGGATCGCTCACCCCCCTAAGCCAGTCGGGGCACTTGTAACCCGCTGATAAGCCAGGTTGGGCCAGATATGACCCACCCTGGCGTCCACTTGCAACCCCCCCTATCACCTTAGAAACCCCCACGGTCATCCTAGTGCCTGTGGACCCTTTTGCGGGTCGGGCGAGAAGAGGAGGTGGACACGGACAGGGAGGGGGGGACTGTACGAGATCTGCCGCCTGCAGTCGGTTTCGGCCCCGCCGCGCGCTCCCTCGCCGACGCCTCTTTCAGTCGGGCACGTCCCTCTACAGGAGGAACATTCAAAAATAGTCCAGAATGACCTGGGGACGATGTTTCTATTTTTGACACCGTTTTTGTTCAATATCTTTACTTCTTCGTCCAAATCCGCCTGTAGGAGGACATGCCCGACCTAACCCTACTCTTACTCTTTACTGTCCCCGTTCGTCCGTCCCGACCCTGGTAGATCCCCTGTAACCAAGACGTTGCCTGCGGTCTCTCTGCATGGCGGAGCGTTCTGCGCCGTCGTTTCTGGCAGCCCGCCAGGTCAACCGGGACATCTCGAGCTACCAGCAGCTGTTTAGCGGAGGCCACTTTTATCGGGTCGGACCGGACGGAGCTGGGGTCGTAGGAGGAAAGGGAGGTGCAGCAAGGCGACGACGACGACGAGGACGACGACGAAGACGACGACGACGACGACGACGGCGACGACAATTGCGACGACGACGACGACGACGGCGACTACGAGACGACGACGGCGACCACGACGAAGACGACGACGAGGACGACAACGACGGCGACAAAGGCGACGGCGACGGAGACGCGACAACGATCGCGACGACGATTGCGACAACGGCGACGACCAACGACGACGACGACGACCGCGACGTCGGAGACGGCGACGGCGACGGCGATGACGCTGGCGACGACCAAGCGACGACGACGATGACGACGATTGCGACGACGACGACGACGACGAAAACGACGACGGCGACGACGACGGCGACGGCGACGGCGATGGCGACGACGACGACGACGACGACGGCGACGACGAAAATGGCAACGACGCCGATGGCAACCGAAACGCGACGACGATCGCGACGACAACGACGACGATGACGACGACGACAGCGACGACGGCGACGGCGACGGCGACGACGATGGCGACGACGAAGCGACGACGACGACGATGGCGACGGTGACGACGACGACGACGAAAACGACGAAGACGGCGACGACGACGGCGACGACGACAACGACGACGAAAACGGCAACGACGGCGATGGCGACGACGACGCGACGATGATCGCGTCGACGATCGCGACGACGACGACGGCGACGACAACGAAGCGAAGGCGACGAATGCGACGACGAAGACGGCGACGGCGACGACGATGGTGACGACGAAGCGATGGCGACGACGACGAAGACGACGACGACGAAGACGACGACGACGACGACGGCGACGATGGTGACGACGAAAACTACGACGACGGGAACGACGGCGACGAAGACGACGACGAGGACGACGAAAACGCCAACGACGGCGACGGCCACGGAGACGGGACGACGATCGCGACGACGACGGCGACGACGAGGACGACGACGACGACGACGAACGCGACGACGGCGACGGCGACGGCGACGACGACGACGACGACGACGACGGCGACGACGAAAACGACGACGACGACGACAACGGCGACGACGACGACGACGAAAACGATGGCAACGGCGACAGCGACGACAATGACGACAGCCACGACGAAAACGGCGACGACGTCGACGGCGACGGAGACGTGACGACGATCGCGACGACGACGGCGGCGACGACGACGACGCAAACGGCGACGATGGAGACAACGATGCGACGGCGGTGGCGACGACGTTGGCGACGACGCTGGCGACGACGACGACGACGACGGCGACGACTACTGCGACGACGACGACGACGACGACGACGGCGATGTCGACGACGAGGGCGACGACGACGACGACGGCGACGGCGACGACGACGACAGCAACGGAGACGCGACGATTGCGACGACGACGGCGACGACGGCGACGACGACGACGACGGCGACGACGAGGACGACGACCGCGACCACGACAATGGCGACGGCGACGGCGACGACACGATGGCGACGACGAAGAGATGGCGACAACGACGACGACGATGGCGACGACGACGACGACCAAGCGACGACGACGTCGAGGACGACGACGACGACGACGACGACGACGACGGCGACGACGACGACGACGACGACGACGACGGCGACGACGAAAACGGCCACGAGGCCGACTGCGATGGAGACGCGACGACGATCGCGACGACGACGGCGACGACAACGGCGACGACAACGTCGAGGACGAAGACCGCGACGACGGCGACGGCGACGGCGACGGCGATGACGAAGCGACGACGACGACGACGACAACGACGACGGCGACGACGGCGACGACGACGGCAGCGACGAAAACGACGACGATGGCGACGGCGACGGCGACAACGACGACGACGGCGAAGACGAAAACGGCGGCGACGCTCACGGCGACGGAGACGCGATGACGACGACCGCGACGACGGCGACGGCGACGGCGACGACGATGGCGAGGACGAGGCGACGACGACGACGACGACAACGACGACGACGACGGCGACGACGACGGCGATGACGATGGCGACGACGAAAACGACGACGATAGCGACGACGACGGCGACGGCGACAACGACGGCGACGGCGAAGACAAAACGGTGGCGACGCCGACGGTGACGGAGACGCGACGACGATCGCGACGAGGACGGCGACGACGACGACGACGACGACGAGGACGACGACGAGGACGACGACGAGGACGACGACCGCGACGACGGCGACGTCGACGGCGACGACGACGACAACGACGGCGACGCGGCTTCCGTCCGCCGTCCGCTGGAGGAGGGCGCCAGTCGCCGCCCCCGGCGGCCCGCGAGGCATCGCGGCCCCGAAGGCGCTCGAGCGCTCGCCCGGCGGCCGCAAGGCCACTTGAGATCCCCCGGGGCCGCGCGGAGGCCCGTGCCGCGTTGGGCGCGGCCGCGGGCTCCCTGTTTGCACCTCCCGCGCCTCCTCCTCCTCCTCCTCCTCCTCCTCCTCCTCCTTCCTCCTCCTTCCTCCTCCTCCTCCTCCTCCTCCTCCTCCTCCTCCTCCTCCACCTCCTTCTCCTCATCCTCGCCCTCCGGGTGCAGGAAGGAGAAGAGGGGAGGAAAGGCGAGTGGGGGGAAAGGAGGGGAGGAGAGGAGGACGGGAGGAAGGGAGATAGGGATGGAGAAGGAAAGGAAAAGACAAAGAGAGGAGGAGGAGCAGAGGAGAGGGGGGGGGAACGAGGAGAGGGAGGCGAGGAAGGGGGGGAAGGTGGAGCTGTGAGTGGAGGGAAGAATGGATGGAGAGACAGAGGGCAGGTATTGAGGAAAAGAGGAAGGGGAGGGAGAAGGGAGAAAAGAGGGAGGAGGAGGGATGAGAGGGAAGAGGAGGCACAAGCCGTGACGCCTCCTGGAGGGCCGAAGGCCCACCCGGAGGTCCTGTGGGCCAACGATCAGCCAGCCTGCGAGCGCAGGTGGCTGAGGCAGAGAGGCCCGCCGACTCCCGCGCCCAGCCCCCGATGTCCGAGTCCACGTAGCCGTTCAGGAGAATACGACATGGGCGGGACACGACGACAGGCGACAAGGCGGACGGGGTGGGACGGAGTGGCCCCTTCAGGGGGCGGCTGCACATGGATGGGCTCACCCGTCTTAGTGTGCTTGCCCTGTCTAACACGTCTCACATGCATCCTCTGATTTGCCAATGCCGACGCAACGTTGGACGGGCCTTTCCACCTGAGAGACAGGCTGCGGAATGTGCCCACGCTGCCGTGGGCTCCACAGCTTGCAGCAGTAGACGGGCCCGTAGCAGAAGACATCATGCAAAAGCTTTGTCGTTGAAAGGGGCAAACTCCGCGGCGTGGTCATCGACCCCAGGGTCCGACACGGGCGTGGGGCGAACCGCGGCGAGCGCACAGCGCTGCGGACAGCCTGCGTCCTGAAGCTAGGCGAGACTTGTTGACCTGCGTGCGCACCCCTCCTTTGCCGACATCATGGATACAGGTACGAACAGCCCTAAAAATGGATGTCAGCAGCCGATGGCGTAGCCAGCTGAATGGGCACATTGCGCACTAAAGCTCAGGGCGTGATACACGGAGAGATCGTCCTCTTCAAGGCGCGAAGCGTCACAATGAACAGCAGTATTGTCGCACGGTTGCTCTTGGCGGGGATACTTTGATGCGCCGTGAATGGCCGCGAGAGGTTGCCGAAGGTTTTGAGACGACGCGGCTGTCTGTGCAAATCCACGAGCACCCAGGGAAAGCGGTGAGGAAACGAAAAATATTCGGCCTCCTGAAGCAGCTGCTTCGAGTGGATCGCCTCAAAGCACTTGACCATGTCAAGCAGCACTGGCACTTCAGCATCACCGACTGACCCCTCTTTCGCAGCCTCGAAGTCGTGCGAGAAAGCATTGTCGGAGGAATCGTGATGCTTGCCAGTTGCCCAGGCCTCCCAACTGTCATGGCGATCTTACCAGTCGAACGTGATGGGCTTGCGCATGTTGCCCTGGATTCGACAAAAAACGAGTGATCAACGCTGTGAGCTTGATGCTTCCTTCGGGCTTGGCCACCCTGACCATGACGCTACAGACACGGTCCGCTGGGCACGCTAAGAATGCTTCGCGCAGGCTGAAGAGAGTCGCAATGGCGTCGTGGGCTTGCCGTGGCAAGTGCACCAAAACCCAGTGTTGTAATCCCGTGGGGCCCGTGGCCGTCCTGGAGGAGCAGGTGCAGGAAGCCTCGCAAGCCTGATCCCCCGAAGCGCACGGAAGGTCAGGCCAACAGTTGGCGCCAGGGGGCGTGTCAAGACGCGCTCGCCAGACATCCGTCCAGGGCTGCAGTTCATCGTCCGCGAGCTGGTGGGGTATTGGCCTGGTGGCAGAGAACCTCCTGGGCAGCTCTGACCTCGGAGAAAGAGTGGGCCCTGGAGGCACTTGGGGCGAAGGCATCTCTGGCCTACTGCCTCCAAGCATCAGGGGCCTCGTTACGGGCCTTCTGGATGAGACCTTGGGCCCAGGAGCAAATGCGGACCAAAAAAATCGGCGCAGGTTTCTCTTGCCAGTACTCCTAACCCACCCGAGAGGAACTCGCGGGCCTCCAGCGTGAGTTTCGCCAAAGCCTTTCTACATCGGGCAAACCTTTTCATGAACTGAGCGAACTCAGAGAAGCATTGCAACCTCTTGCTGTACTGGCTGGCCGGGAGCGTGCACATAGCATCAGCAGATTGCAACAGCTCAATCACTCAGATGAGACAACTGACGTCTCGTGGCGACATGCTTGGCCCAACCGAGAGCAATGGACAAGGCCTTAGTGCGCGAGCCCTTGTAAGTCCGACGCTTGGGGAGCTCCGCCCCGTCAAGCACGAAAGCTCAGAACGCAGCGAGGGAGGGCAAATTGTCAGCGCTGCTAGCAGCTCTGTCCAGGGCGGCTGGCCGGGAAACAATTGGCGGACGCGCGCAGCCGCCTGGAGGGGCAGCCGGGGGCGTCCTGGTCTCCTTGGGGCGCCCGGGCCCACACGGGCGCAGTCTCCGCAGACAGACAGGTGCGGCGCCATGGGTCAGGCGAGGGAAGGTGGAGGCATCCTGATCAACGGCGGGCGGGGAGGGAGAGAATCCGTGGGGCCAGTGACCGATTGCGAACGGAGAAAAAACAATGTGGGACCTTTTTGCCAACGGTGAGGGAGGGGGGGGAAGGTGCGAAGGAGAAGGCCTGCTCAGAAGGTTCGGAAGGCCCCCGCCCTTGTGAGAAGTGTTCTGAGCCTTCCCCGAAGAAAAAAACAAAAACTTATTCTCAGAGGGTGCAAGGGCTTCTGAGAAGTCCCGCCGCCTTCTCAGAAGGCCTTCTCCTTCTCATTTCCCCCCAAGAGTTGGTCTTTCTGCCTACTCCTGAGTGTCCGTCCTCCCCCCTTCGTTTATTAGTGCTGTGCACTCCCCCTTTGGGCATTCACTTTTTTTTTCATTTCCCCCGCCTCTCGGGCCGAACGAAAAGGGGGGATAGAGAAAGGTGGGGTTACGACATCTGCTGCGTGCAGCTGGTTTCGGCCCCGCCGCCGGGCCTAGTCCTCGATACATGGGCGCCGGGAGGTGCCGGAAGAATCAGCTACGTGAGCTGATTCTCACCCCCCCCCTTTGCTATTCCCCCCCCTTCGCCCAGCCCGAACCTCGATCGGCGCCGAGGGGGGGGAGAGAATCTGTGGGGCCAGTGACCGATTGCCAGCGAAAAGATCGATGCGGGACCGCGGGACCGCCTGCCGGCACGAGCGCGCCTCGGCAGCCCAAGAGAGACCCTCCGATGGCTTTGGTCCACGACGACTGGTTCAGTGCATCGGGCTCCGTGCTCCTATCGGCTCCGACGACCCGTGGAAGCTGCAGCCCATGCACAATGGCAAGATACTCTCAAAGCCTCCGAAGACTTGCTTGGCTGGTCTGGCCCAACCCCTTCGTTACGCGTAAGGTAGGCAGGCAGGAGGACAGTTCCTCCAAGCGAAGAGGATCGCACGCGCGCTGTGCAGCAAGCTTGCCCGAGACGAGGTCAGTCCCGCCCGCTCCTGGCGGGGCGGTGACGGCCACGTTGGAGCACACGAAGATCGCGACTCCACCAGACGTGGCAGGGCCGCCCTCGTCGTTGTCCACCGCGCAACTCCACGTGCCGTGCCAGCCAGCGTCGAGCACCTGCCCTACTACGTGACGTGGCGTCCTGCGCCAGCACGGCATGCGCCTGCGCCGTGATGAGAAAGTCACAGAGCGGGCCAAGCGAGCTGGAGTTGCCGGTGACAGACGACGAGCCCTCGGCACGCGAACGCGTGGCCGCCGCCGCCGTCGCCGTCGCCGAAATCCTCGTCGAGGGCGCCATCGAAGTGCAGGGCTTCACCGCAGCACCTGTGGGGAGCGCGGCAAGCATGCCCAGGCTGCCCGTCACCTCTCCAGTGGGCCTTGGCGAGGGCCTGCTGGAGCAATGCTCGCGCCGTAAACATAAGTCGGGCATGTCCCTCTACAGGCGGAGTATTCAAAAATAGTCCAAAAATAGTTTGGGGATGATTTTTCGACTATTGTTGACTATGTTTGAACATGTTTGGGCTATTTTTAGTTTGTCGTCCAAAATCCCCCTGTAGGAGGACATGCCCGACCTAATTGTAAACCGACGTCCTGGGGGTCGCCCTCGATGTCGCACATGGGCAGCCCGTTGGAAATACGCCCACCCAAAGACCCACCCACCAAGCTGCCAGCAACGTCGCCACCAGAGTGGTGCGTGGGAGTGGAGGGTAGATGTTCCGTCTGAACTGCCAGTACACTGCGATGGTGCACCAAGACATCCCGGGCTGTTGCAGCCCCAGCATTTGACGTGACGCACCCAAGCTTTCCTCTGTCAGCACAAGCGCCACCAGGAAGGCCAGGAGGAATTGGGCTTGGGGCCCAGTCAAAAAGACCGCTGGATGTAGCGCCACCCGGTCCACCCAAACCATTGTCAGCACGAACGCCACCAGGGGGAGGGGGAAGATAGGGTATCGTTGATGAGCCAAGCTGGTTCGGGCTTGCAACGTCAGTGTAGGGTATCACCATCTCACGACTCATGATAGCAATCAGCACCAGTGATTTACGCTACCGCGATCCTTGCCTTGAGCTTCTTACAGACCGATGCTGCTGAGAGGAGATGCCGCGTGAGCTTGTCACGCAGCTCAGGTTCAGAAATGACTGTCGCCTTCGTTGCCGGCAGAAACCTCGATACCACAAGCCCCGAGGTGCTCGCGACAGTTCGCCGCGTCCAGGCCGTCGATGTACTGCTCCTGCGCCCCCTCGTCGACATGCATCGTGGAGCTTGCCGGTGGGCCCAGCGGTACTGGAGGTCCAGGAGAAGTGGGCAGGCCGTCACAAGCAGCCGTGCTGGACACACGCTCCTGCTGCTCCGCATGCTCGACCGCTGAGTGCTTGGCCTTTGCCACAGTAGCCGCCATACCTGCGAGGTCGGACGCGAACTCGTGGGATCCACAACGAGCGCTGCTGCTGGCGTCAAACTGTGATATCGTGGCCTCGAGCCCTGGCAAGATGGCGGAGAGCGCTGGCGTGCCGTCAGAGGAATCGTACGAAGTAGCTGGAGCCACCACCGTGTGCAGCCTTCCTTCAAGCTCGATGATGTGTGCAGTCGCTGCGGCTTCGGTAGCCTCCGACGCCTTGGCTGCTTGAGTAGCCTTAGCAAGAACCTCGTTTGCAACCTCCAGCTTGTCCGTTCAACCGTTCTTCTTAGACTTGGCCACCGTGAACCGACTAGGAAGACTCTGCAGGCTTGACTCGGTGGGTGTGTTCGCCTCCAAGTATGCTGCCAACTGATCGCGCTCTGCCAACATCTTTGCCTTGACTATCGTATCAGTGGAGCCGAGCACCTTGACAATTCGATTCCTATCTTGGATGCGGCTCCGCTTGACCGCAATCGTGCCTGAGGGTTAAGGCCTTGCCCATGGAGGATTGGTAGCTCCAGCGCATGGTTTCTCGCTGCCATTGCCGCCTCGCAGCTCCCGCATCTGCTTCCGCCACTCAGAGAGCTGTTTCTCCAAGGTGGTCTCCCGCTTGGAAGACATCTGAGCGGAATGCTTTGCAGGAACTGCTGGCGGTGGAACTCCTTTGAACGCAGTTCCCTTTGGCAGGCCACACTGCGAGCACCACATGTCATCTCCCTTGTTGATCCAGTCTGTGCCAGACTGGGCGTGCTTACACCTCTTGCAGTACCATGACTCGGCTGCTGGGCACAGCCCATCGCAATGAGAGGGCGAACCACGCGAGGTAGCGTTGGACCGCCGTTAGGGAATGAGAGGCCGTGCGGAGCAGCACGGCGGGTGAGAGGTGCCAGATTGAGCAGTCTTGCCAGCCGCGGACTAGCGGTAGTAAATTTTCGTTTAGCCAGAAACTTGAACCTTGAGCCAGCATGGCTACGGAAAGGATGAAGGGGAAGAGAGGGGGGGAGGGAGCAGAGGGACGACAGGGAGGAGAGGGGCGAAGAGGAGGAGAATGAGGAGGACGAAGGAAGAAGGAGGAAGGACGAAGGGCTAAGGAGCAGGAGGAGGAGGAGGAGGAGGAGCATCAGAAGAAGAATCATCATCTTTTGCCCCGCGTTCTCCTTCTCGTTCTGCACACATGTGTTCATGGTTCCTCATTACCCGCCTCCACTCCTCTCTCCACCCTCACCCCCACGTCCTCACGCGATGCCCCCCATCCCTCTCCGCCTCCACGCCTCCACCTCCCCACCCGTCCGCCTCCGTCTTCGCTTGCCCTCTCCTGGTCCGGGCACATGTCCCAGGGGCGATCCCGGAAGCTTCGTGCCGGCTGTGTTTTTGTTGAGCAAGCCCACGTTGGGTGTTGCTGAAAGTGCCCCTGGTCCAGGGTGCCCCCAGCTTTGTGCCCCATCTCGGAGCACCTGGGGCCCTCTGGGCCTCGTGAAGAGTGCTCTGGAGGCCGTCTGGGCCACCCCGAGCCTCCTGGGGGCACCTTGGGCCAGGGGCTCTTCTAGCAACTCCCGACCACGCGGCCATCCAGGCGGCCCAGCGGTGCGGGCAGGACACCCCCAGACCTCCGACCTCGTTCTTGTATCCAGACGCGTGCACCTTGAGAGTTCTCGGGGCCCCTCGCCCGCGGCCGGGTTAATTTGTCTGCGGCCGACGTTGGATTGTCTCGGGCCCCAGAAGCGATCCGCCACGCGCAGAGGGGAGTAGGGTTAAATCGGGCCTGCCCCTCTACAGGAGGAAGATTCAAACATAGTCAAAAAATACTCTGGGGACGATTTGTTGATTTGTTGTTGGTCATGTTTGAGCATTTCGGGGCTATTTTTCATTTTTCGTCCAAAATCCGCCTGTAGGGGGACACGCCCGACCTAAGAGTAGGGGGAGGTGGGAAGGCTTCTTAGAAGCACCCCTGCTGTTTAGAAGGCGCGGACCTCGTCTGCAGATGTAAGGCCGGCGCCTTCTGAGAAGCAGCCTCCTTCTAAGAAGCCTTTCCCCCTCCCCCATACCCCCTGGTGCGCGCCGCCCAAGCGACCCCGAGAGCCCGAAATCGAGGCGCAAGCGTCCGCATCGAGGACATCACAGCGTTGGAGGTCTTGGCAGACCAGCCACAGCTGGGGGGGGAGGTGCCGTCCTTATGCCCCCTGGGGGGGCGCCTTCGGCCTCGACACCCCTCTCGACCGGTCGTCGGTATACGATGGGCTCCCCCAGGCGGGCAACCCAAGCCGTCCCAATGGGGCTGGGAGCAGATGGGGTCGGAGGAGGAGGAAGAGGAGGAGGAGGAAGAGGAGGAGGAGGAGGAGAGGAGGAGGAGGAGGAGGAGGAGGAGAGCTGCGCTTGATGTTGTCATCGCGTTCGATTATGTAGACCATGAGCTTCTCACTTCTTCGCTTCTCAAGGCAGGTATGCACCCTGAGCACGTGTGCTGCCTCGTCCGCGAGCTCAGTGGGTTCTGGGCTAGACTGGAAGTACCGACGGCTGGGCATACTAAGTGGTTTCCTTTTACCACGGTCGGGAAGCAGGGTGAAGTCGAAACGCCCGACGAATTCAACGTGTTCCTTGAGTCCGTCTTGACCCCGGTTGTCTTGAGCTGGACCCGCCGGGAGTTTGGGTTCGACGTCACAACGTGTTTATCATCGCCCGCACCAAGCAGCAGTTTGAGCTCATGTGCCAGGAAATTACAGATGCCATTTATTCGTCTAAATTGAAGTGGAAACCTTCGTCACTTCAATTATTGTGTTCCGGGGTGGACCCGCTGGACTCCTCTTCAATGTGGTTGCAGTTGCTTGATGCCACCTCTTTGGAAGTACGGCATGTCTTTGATATGGAAGCTTTGGGGACGCTGCTGAATTCTACGGGGTCCTCCATGGCTAGCTTTGAGTACCGCGCGCACAAAGCGGAGGGTTGTTTCTGGGCCAATTCGTCTGCGTTCTTGACCGCCGGAGGTGTTGTTCAAAAACTCAGAGCACGGAGGAGTGGCCCCGGGACTTCTGCAGCATTTGGAGCCCGTCGTTGGCATATTACTTCTAACTTGCTGTGGGCTGCAAAGCGATGGGAATTCGAATGGCTGCGGAAGGCGCTGGGGTTGAAACGTCGGCGAGGTGAAGGGCAGCTCGACTACAACAGCCGGACGAGTGCGCTAATTCAGGCATGGGCTCAGAAGGCAAACGTGTCATTTCTACATCACCGCGTACTCCAAGAGGTCTTCAAAGAGGCGTGGAGGGAATTATGCACCACGCTCCCGGGGGACAACAACCACATTGCCAACGCGCGACGCTTTCGAGACCGATTGTGGTGGAGCGCGGTCAAAGACATTCCATTTTCGTGGCGTTCTGGAGCTGGTTTCGCCCATGCAGCGCGCGGGGGAAGATATCCTGAATGGGAAGATGTGTTTGTCATGGTCTTTGGCCTGTCTTGGAAACGTGAGGCGGCGAGCTGCCGGATGGATGAATGGATGCTGAAGTTGCCGTTGATTGTGAATTCCGTGTGCGAGCAGTGGGGCCTCCCACTGCTACCTGAGCGGCAACCAGCGGAAGGGGAACCTGTCCAAAAGCCGGCGAAACGCCGACGCAGCGTTACGACGGATTTGTCAAATTTGCCTGAATCTCATGGCCCTGCGTGGGATGATGGGCAACATCACTGGCACGACAGTCAAAACCATGTCGTTTTCATCGTGGACTGCCAGCCGCTGTGCAACGTGATTTGTGGGAAGTCGCCGCTAGAGAGCCCTGACTCAGAGAAGACGTGCCATAGTATCACGGAGAACATGAAAGCCGTATTCTTCCTTGGTTGGGCGCCGCCGCGCCGCTGGGTAGACCCAGTGGCTTGGAAGCCCCGCGGGTAAAATAAGATAGCGGATTACCTTGTCAACGCCACCATGGACTTAGAGGGATCTTGGACACGCCGGCTCCAGGATATCCCGGCCGACGGTTGCAACATCATCTGCCGTTCCGACGGAGGCACGAGGATCGGTAGGTGCTCTGCTGCGGCATATACCGTGGAGGCGCGCGTGGAGAAGGACGGCGTTTTCACGACACTTGTGCTCGCCATGGGCGGGCTCTACATGGATTGCCATGCGTCGTCTTTCTTTGCGGAGGCTATTGCTTTAGAGGAATGCGCATCATGTGCCATACGGCTGATTGAGTCTGATTCACGTACCAAGCGCAGGAGACTTTAGATCCAGCGTTAGATCCAGCTTTGCCGTATTCATCTGCCAGCGCCTGAGGCGCTTTAGGCTGTGCCGAAAGAAGAAAGAAGAGGAGGAGGAGGAGGAGGACGAAGAGGAGGAGGAGGAGGAGGAGGAGGAGGGGACTGCTCTTCTCCATCCTGCCGTCGCCGATGCATCGGCGATGCGGCGCGATCCTCAGGCCCCATCTGCTCCAGCCCCACTTGGGAGGCCTCTGACAACGCCTGGCGGTGAGTCTCGGGCGATTTGGTGTCACCACCCAGTTTGGGGACTCGTGTGCTTTTTCGAAGATGTCCCGAACGCTGGTGGGTCCAGAAGTCACAGAACCCGGCGGTGACCCCTGAGGAGCCCGAGGGGGGGGGGGGGGGAGAAGGAGGAAAACGCTACAGCCAGGACGGCCAAGTTCGCCCAGCGTGAGCAAGGAGGAGACAGGGGAGGAGGAGGAAGAAGATGAAGTGGAGGAGGAGGAGGAGGAGGAGGAGGAGGAGGAGGAAGAGGAGGAGATATCTCACCACCTGGTTTGGGGGCTCCAAGAGCACTGCTCCCCGCGGCTGTGGGCCGGTCGGCCTGCACGGGCCCCGCGAGGCGGCCAGAGCGTGCGGAGCAGGTGGAGCCGCGCGTCGGGCCAGCGGCGCGCCTTCTCGCGGCCCGCGCCGCGCGCCTGCCGCGCGGGGCGCTCGGCAACAGTGCGGCGCGCCCTCGCGGGTCCCCACGGGACGAGCCGCCCGATCGACGACGACGACGACGACGGCGACGCCCGATCGGAGATGAAGCAACGTGCGCGTTGAGTTACCGGAGGTCCGCGCGGAACTCCGAGGAGGAAGAGGAGGAGGAGGAGGAGGAGGAGGAGAAGGAGGAGGAAGAGGACGAGGAGGAGGAGGAGGAGGAGGAGGAGGGGGAGGGGAGGGGAGGGGAGGAGGAGGAGGAGGAGGAGGGGGAGGAGAGGAGGAGGAGGAGAGGAGGAGCAGGAGGAGCAGGAGGAGGAGGAGGAGGAGGAGGAGGAGGAGGAGAAGGAGAAGGACCGTTGCTCTCGGACGCGCATGGCATGTGCTTGGCCTCCCGAGGGGCCTCGCCCTGGTGTCTTTCCTCGTTGTCGTCGTCCCGCCCGTTTCCCCTCCGCCTTCCCCCTGGCCCTCCTGCCCACCTCAAGACTGAGAGCAGCAGGGTGCCGTGGCCCTGGCTGCAAGGGCCCAGCGCGGAGCGCCAGGGAAGCCTGGCCACGCCCCCCTGGGACGGGAGGGCTCCGGGCGCGAAGCGAATGAATCGCGTAGCAGGTTAGGATATCAGCAGCCGTCGCCACAGCCTCCACCACCACCGAGAGGAGGAGGGGGGAAGGTCGTCAGCGTTCGTCGGCCGCTCCGCCGCACCGCCGCCCGCAAGGGGAGAGAGGCCTCGGAGAGCTGTCAACAAAAGCAAAGTCATCCTTCCACTCATCCTGCACCTCCTCCGCCACCTCATCCTTCTCCTCCCCCTTCTCCTCCTCCTCCTCCTCCTCCTCCTCCTCCTCGTCCTCCTCCTCCTCCTCCTCCTCCTCCTCCTCCTACTCCTACTACTCCTGCAATTTACACAGGTCCCCTTCTCTAGTTACTTGCGCAGAAAAACGATCGGGTCCGTTTGGTGGTTCCAGGTCCGTTGTGACACAAGTCGGCGGATAGAGAACCATCAGCGCAATGGGCAGGGATGGGTGGGAGGGGCAGACAGGCAAATCTGGCGCCAGCGCGCCGATCGCGACGTCGTGCCAATCTCGTGTTGCTGGTCTACACTTTCCTCGCTGCGTCCGTCCGTTCTCGCAGTCCTTCCTGCTGCCCGACTGCCAGCCCGTTACGTTTTCCTTCTCACCCCAGCCCGCTTCCCAGATCCCAGCGCACTCAATACCACTTCGGTGAGCCGTCCACACGCATCTTGGGAGTAGACACCACTCCAGGAAGGGCGATCATCACACCCGTCCTGATTTCAATAACCAGCGACGCTTAAGGCTGTATATAATCCGACATTGTCTTCCTCCTCCTCCTCCTCCTCTTCCTCCTCCTCCATCCTCATCTTCTTCATCCTCCTCACCGGAGTCCCCCTCCCCCTGAGTCCCCACTCCATTAAACAAAAATCATGTCCTCCCCATCATCACCATCCTCCTCCCTCATCCTCTCTGCTGTGCGAGGTCGTTCCCCATCCTCCACAGCCTCTGCAGAAACTGGGCACCGTCTCACGACGCCCACAGCCCCCCTGAAACCAAAGCGCAATGTGCCATCACAACGCGAACACACACACAACTCTCTCCTCTTTTTTTTTTCTCTCTCTCTCTCTCTCTCTCTCTCACGCACGCGCACACACAAACAAACAAACACGTACGCACGCACGCATGCATGCACGCACGCACGCACGCACGCACGTGCACACACACACACACTCACACACACACACTCGCGCGCACACACTTACACACACACACACACACACACACGCACATACACTTACACACACACACACACACACACGCACACACTTACACACACACACACACACACACACACACACACACACACACGCGCGCGAGCGCGCATACACACATGATGTGCGAACCCATATAACTGATGTCCACGAGTAAGTACATATCGAACGCACCAGGAGCAGCAGCGTGCTGTGCGAGCGCGTGCCGTGCTCCAGAGCATCGTGAACTGGGGCCGGCACCAACGTGACGGCATGCGCAGCTCTCGTGTTCCCGAAATTCGAGTCAAGTATGTTGGTGCGGGTCGCCATGTGCTCCATGGACGTGCAGGAAGGCCTGTGTCGCCGGCGAAGCCAGACGTGTGCGTGTTGGGCAAGTCCGAGAGGAAGGCAAGCGACGTCACGACGGCGTGACGCCAGCAGGCGTTCTTCGGGCAGACGGTCGAGGGAAGCAAGAACAGCTTCGAGCGGGATGGTAGAACGATTTGTTTGGACATGTTCGTGCCGCGCCTCCCGCGTAGGCAGGCCCACACGACAGCAGCGTGTTAAGTACGTAGTCCCGTTTTTGAAATGTTCCTGGCACCCGTGCTGATCTGCTCCTGGCAAAGGCGTCCCTCGAACCGCAATGGCTGCCTCGGAGGAGGAACAGCAGCAAGCGGAAGGGGAGTGGAGAGAGCCTAGGGACGAGGCAGGCGAGGAAGAAGAGCGGCCGTGCAGAGGAAACGGAGGACGTCGTCGCGAGGCAGGTTGGCCGACCGAAAGTGCAGAAGAGAATCACTGAGGGCCTGGAGCCTTCCTCCGAGACTCTAGGATCTTGAGACGTGTTTGGCTCAAGGTGCGCCTTTCACATTGATTCCCGGTCGCCGGTGCGAGAAAGTGCATTTCTCGGGGCAGGCGAAAGGGGGAGGAAGGGAGGTGCGAAATTTGTTGCGCGCAGCCAGTTTCTTCCCCGCCTCCGGGAAACCTGGCCACGAGCTGCGTGCAGCCGGTGCTTCTCTGCCCCCCTCGTCAGCCCCGACCCTCGTGATCCTCCTCGCCATGGCGCCAGGGAGCAGCACCGTTGCCGCGAGGGCGGGGACTCCAGCAGGAAGGAGGCGGGTCCTGAGGGAAGCGGGTCCCGGACCCGGGGGCTTCCCGACCGGACCGAAGGCCGAAAAAAAGCAAATGCCACAATCCTCCAAAAACGCATGGGAAATTAATGATTTGGGCCTTTTCGGGCCTTCCTGGAGGCTCTCTTGGAGGCCTCTTGGGCCATCTTAGGGCCATCTTCGGCCGTCTTGGTGGGCTCCTGGCCCGTCTGACGCCGTCGGAAGCCGTTTGGGGGGCCTCTCTGGGTCGATTTGGGGCCCTCTTGGGGCTCCAGGGCCGTCTTAGAGGCCATCTTGGGCGTCTTGGAGGCCTCTTGGGTTGTCGTTGTGCCCTCTTGGGGCCGTCTTGGGGGCCTCTTGGGCAGTCCTGAGGCCATCTTGGAGGCCTCTTGGGCGCTCTAGGGGCGATCTTGGGGGCCTCTTGGGCCGTCTAGTGTCGTCGGGAAGCCGAAAAGGAGCAAATACGAAAAACCTTTAAAAACCCCTCTTGGGCCGTCTTAGAGGCCTCTTGGGCACCTCTTGGGCAGTTTTGGGCCGTCGTGGAGGTTTCTTGGGCGGACTTGAAGGCATATCCTCCTCTCTTGGGCCGTCTTGGAGGCCATCTTGGAGGCTATCTTGGGCCAATGTGGCCATCATGGAGGCCATCGTGAGCCGTCTTGGAGGATTTTTTCCGGGATTGAGCTCCTGGGCAATCCTCCCGGCACCACAGCGGGACGCACCGAAGCCCCACGGGAAGTTCTTTTGGAAAAGAGCCAAAACCAAAACCAAAATCGTCTACCACGCCAGGCACCCATCTTGCAAGCAACAGGGGGCGGTGGATCGAAGACGCGTACGGCGAATCACCGCCGCCCCCTGCCTTTTTGGAAACGCCGATGTGGCCGAAAGTTGGACTAGAGCTTGGCCAAGCTATCGGACCATGAGTTCCCCGAGTCGGTTTGGAAAGCTTTCGGGGAACACATGGGAGAGAATGATTATGAACAGGAAGAGGAAGAGGAAGAAATAGAGTAGGAGGATGAGGGTTGTTAGGAGTCTCTTGGGGCACCCTTGGGGTCTGTTGGGGGCTTCTTGGGGGCCTCTTCGAGGCCTCTTGGAGGCATCTTGGGGGCCTCCTTGGGCCTCTTGGGGGCCTTTGGGGGCTTCCTGGGGGTCTCTTTGGCCGTCTTAGGGCGTTCCTGGTCCGTCTGACGCCGTCTGGAGCCGTCTTGGGGGCCTCTCTGGGCCGTCTTGGGGCCCTCTTGGGGCGCTTCAGGGCCGTCTTGGAGGCCATGTTGGGCGTCTTGGAGGCCTCTTGGGCCGTCTTGGGGCGCTCTTGGGGCCGTCTTGGGGGGCCCTTGGGCCGTCATAGGGCCTTCTTGGAGGCCTCTTGGGCGATCTTGGGGGCCTCTTGGGCCGTCGGAAGGCCGAAAAGAAGAAAACGCAAAAAACCTTCAAAAACCTAAGGAAAACCAATGATTTTGGCCTCTTCGGGCTCTCCTGGAGAACGTCTTGGAGGCCTCTTGGGCCATCTTGGAGGCATCTTGGGGCCATCTTGGCCGTCTTGGAGGGCATCTTGGGCCGTCTTGGAGGCATCTTGGAGCCATCTTACCCGTCTTGGAGGCCATCTTGGCCGTCTTGGAGGCATCTTGGAGGCCATCTTGGGCCATCTTGGCCGTCTTGGAGGCCATCTTGGGCCAAGTTGGGGCAACAAAGGCATTGACAGATGGATTTTCGGAAACTTACGGGTGGCCGGCGGGACGGGCCGAAGCCCACTGGGGAGTTCTTTTAGAAAAAGAACCAAAACCAAAACCTGAATCGTCCAGCACGCCGTGCACCCCTGTGGCAAGACCACAGGGGGCGGCGGATCGAAGACGCCTACGGCGAATCACCGCCGCCCCCTGCCTTTTTGGAAGCGCCTATGTGGCCGAACGTTGAGGCCAGACCTGCCAAGCTATCGGACCACGTGTTCCCCGAATCGGTTTGGAAAGCCTTCGGGGAACACGTGGGCATCTTGAAGGTCATCTTGGCCGTCTTGGAGGCCTCTTGGGCAAGCTTTGGGCGATCTTTGGGGCTTTTTGGGCCGTCTCGGGCCAGCTTCGAGCCAACTTCGGCCATCTTGGTGGGTTCCTGGCACGTCTGAAGCCGTCGGAAGCCGTTTGGGGGGCCTCTATGGGCCGACTTGGGGCCCGCTTGGAATGCTCCAGGGCCGTCTTGGAGGCCATCTTGGGCGTCTGGGAGGCCATCTTGGGCGTGTTGGAGGCCTCTTGGGCCCTCTTGGGGCCCTCTAGGGGCCATCTTGGAGGCCACTTGGGCCATCATGGGGCTCTCTTGGGGGCCTCTTGGGCGATCTTGGGGGCTTCTTGGGCCGTCTTGAGCCGTCGGAGAGCCGAAAAGGCGCAAATGCCAAAATCCTTCAAAAACCAATGGAAAATCAATGATTTTGGCCTCTTCGGACTCTCCTGGAGGACCTCTTGGAGGCCTCTTGGGCCGTCTGGGAGGCCTCTGGGGGGCCTCTTGGGCCGTCTTGGGCCGTCTTGGACTCTCTTGGGCCGTTTTGGAGGCCGTCTTGGACCATCTCGGGCGGACTTGGAGGCCATCTTGGGCCATCTTCGCGATTTTTTGAGGATGTCCCGAGCGAAACGGCCGTTTTTGGGCATTGACAGACGCATTTTGGGAAATTCGCGGGTGGCCGGCGGGACGGGCCGAAGCCCACTGGGGAGTTCTTTTAGAAAAAGAACCAAAACCAAAACCTGAATCATCCAGCACGCCGTGCACCCCTGCAAGCAGGGGGCGGCGGATCTAGTGGCCTTCGGCCTGTCCCGCCACCGTGCCTCAGTTGTGGGCCAAAGGCCTCTTGGATGCATGTTAGGGTCTCTCGAGATGCCTCTCGGGGGCCTCTTGGGCACAGGTTTGAGCCTCCTAGGGGCTTCTTTGTGACCTCTAGTGGGCTTTCTTGGGGTATCTTGGTGCCTCTCAGGGCCTCTTAAGGGCCTCTTGGGCGCGAGTGCTTCATATATTGTAGGGGATTGTGCCCTCGGGGGCGAGCATCTGTTGTAGGTGTACGTGTCCCGGGGCACCCCGAGAACTACCCCATTATGGCGCGGCTAGTTCCCACGTTTGCCCTCCCCCTTCGCGCGGCCTTCAATCAGCACCAAAATCAAATTCTCACATAGAAAATACCTATACGACCACCCTTCTGGTGATATGGAGGCTGGGGGAGAGAGGAACCAACGTCTCACTCAATCGATCTCACTATCGATATCAAAAAGGCAGGGGGCGGCGGTGACGCCTACGGCGAATCACCGCCGCCCCCTGCCTTTTTGGAAATGCCGATGTGGCCGAAAGTTGGACTAGAGCTTGGCCAAGCTATCGGACCATGAGTTCCCCGAGTCGGTTTGGAAAGCTTTCGGGGAACACATGGGAGAGAATGATTATGAACAGGAAGAGGAAGAGGAAGAAATAGAGTAGGAGGATGAGGGTTGTTAGGAGTCTCTTGGGGCACCCTTGGGGTCTGTTGGGGGCTTCTTGGGGGCCTCTTCGAGGCCTCTTGGAGGCATCTTGGGGGCCTCCTTGGGCCTCTTGGGGGCCTTTGGGGGCTTCCTGGGGGTCTCTTTGGCCGTCTTAGGGCGTTCCTGGTCCGTCTGACGCCGTCTGGAGCCGTCTTGGGGGCCTCTCTGGGCCGTCTTGGGGCCCTCTTGGGGCGCTTCAGGGCCGTCTTGGAGGCCATGTTGGGCGTCTTGGAGGCCTCTTGGGCCGTCTTGGGGCCGTCATAGGGCCTTCTTGGAGGCCTCTTGGGCGATCTTGGGGGCCTCTTGGGCCGTCGGAAGGCCGAAAAGATGAAAACGCAAAAAACCTTCAAAAACCTAAGGAAAACCAATGATTTTGGCCTCTTCGGGCCCTCCTGAAGGACCTCTTGAAGGCCTCCTGGGCTGTCTTGGAGGCCTCTTTGGGGCCTCTTGGGCCGTCTTGGGCCATCTTGAGGCTATCTTAGGCCGTCTTGGGTACATCTTGGGCCGTCTTGGAGGCATCATAAGGCCATCTTAGCCGTCTTAGAGACCATCCTGGCCGTCTTAGAGGCATCTTGGAGGCCATCTTGGAACCGTCTGGGGCAGGAAATTGGGGAATTGAGCTCCTGGGCATCCTTTCCGGGTGACCGGCGGGACGGGCCGAAGCCCACTGGGGAGTTCTTTTAGAAAAAGAACCAAAACCAAAACCGATAAAATCTAACACGCCAGGCACCCCTGCAAGCAGGGGGCGGCGGATCTAGTGGCCTTCGGCCTGTCCCGCCACCGTGCCTCAGTTGTGGGCCAAAGGCCTCTTGGATGCATGTTAGGGTCTCTCGAGATGCCTCTCGGGGGCCTCTTGGGCACAGGTTTGAGCCTCCTAGGGGCTTCTTTGTGACCTCTAGTGGGCTTTCTTGGGGTATCTTGGTGCCTCTCAGGGCCTCTTAAGGGCCTCTTGGGCGCGAGTGCTTCATATATTGTAGGGGATTGTGCCCTCGGGGGCGAGCATCTGTTGTAGGTGTACGTGTCCCGGGGCACCCCGAGAACTACCCCATTATGGCGCGGCTAGTTCCCACGTTTGCCCTCCCCCTTCGCGCGGCCTTCAATCAGCACCAAAATCAAATTCTCACATAGAAAATACCTATACGACCACCCTTCTGGTGATATGGAGGCTGGGGGAGAGAGGAACCAACGTCTCACTCAATCGATCTCACTATCAATATCACTATCAATCCCACTATCGATTTCACCATCGATCTTACCATCGCCCTCACTATCGATCTCGCTATCGATCTCAAGATCGATCTCACTACGGGACACCGACGAGACACCACGGCGGGACAACCCCGCCACCGCCCGCCCACCCGGGGGGAGGGCTGGACTACTGTCTTGCCCCGCCCTAGCCACAGCGGAGTCATTTCTCTCGCCCGCCCACGCAGCTTCGCCTCGCACTCACGACACGAATGCGAAACCAAAACCGATTTCCCGGTGGGGGGCTCTCCGTTCCAC